TGTCTCCTTCTCTTCTCCCCCCTCTCCCTTCCTCTCCCTTTCTCTCTCCCTTTCTCTCTCTCTCCCCCTCTCTCCCCCTCTCCCTCTCTCTCCCTTTCTTTCCTTTCAACAGTAAGATGTTCCTTTAGTCACATTTTTAAAAACCCTTTGAGCCGGGGATTTAGCTCAGTGGTTCCACTGCCTGCCTCACAAGCGCAAGGTCCTGAGTTCTATCCCCAGTACCCAAAAAAACCTTTGAAATTGCAAAGAATAATCCTGGTTATGTTTAAAAAAAAATTTTTTTTTTTCATTTTAAATCTTTAGCTTCCATTTAGGTGATTGAAGTGAATTCCAACTTTTTTGGTTTTGGTTTTGGTTGTTCTGAGACAGGGTCTCGCTATGCAGTTTGAGGCTATCCTTGAACCTACTATGTAGTCTTATAAAGAACCCTTATAAAGTATGTAGGGAACCCTTATAAAGTATGTAGGGAACTTTCCTTAGGAATAGGAAGGTTTTCTTTTCTTTGTTTGGTTTTTTTGGTACTGGGGATCGAACTCGGGACCTTGCGCTTGTAAGGCAGTTGCCAGAACCACTGAGCTAAATCCCCAGCCCAAGGTTTTCCTTTCTTTTTTCTTTTTTTTTCCGTACTGGGGATCAAAACCTTTCTTAATGGGTGTAACTTAACTCTGATTCACACAGTCCTAGTCGCAAAATCTTACCCTTTATACCTCCCGGTAAGGTACTTGGATGTTAGAAATTGGTTTGGGGATGTGGCTTAGTGATAGGGTGCTTGCCTATTATGCATGAGACGCTGAACTTGATCCCCAGCACTGCTAAGAAATGAAGAAAGGAAAGGAGAGAAGGGACAGTTATGTATTTAGTTGGATTTGCTATAGTAGTTTTTTCAGAAAAATCCCAGGCCAATTAAATGGGGGTTTTTTTGAGCACCTTTTTTGCCTGTTGATCTGGCAAAGGTGACTGGGTATAGGTCCTGAGCCTGGCCAGACTCTCAGGCCAGTGCACATTTTGAAAGGTCCAAATTCAAGGGGGCAGAGAAGTATATTAATTCCGACCAATAAACTATCTTGGCAGCACCTAATGACACAGAAAAGGTAGACCTGCCATTTGCAGGATATACTAATGATGTAATTTCTATTATGAAATAATGTGAGATCAGCAGTGTGTGTTCTGAGTGGAAATGTCAGGGGATCTGCTATTTATTTGCACTCTTAGTGCCAGAAGGCAAAGATACCTAGGCGAATGGTCTTGGCTTCAAGGAGCTCGGAGTCTAGTAAGCTGACTTCAGTTTGTGTTTTCTGTCAGACTCCCATGACTTTGGGGGAAATGAGAAGGTGCGGCATAAATGTGAATAGTGAGGAAGATTTCTTTCAAGCAGTTTCATGAAAACTACATTCATTAAGTTAATACATCTTATATGTGAAATGTTTGCTGTAGCTTCTTTTGGCATGAACACAAGAAAAACTCCATTTTAAAATGCCTTCGTGTCCTTAGGGAGTGTGAGTGATGATTTCATTACCTAATCATGGAAGGGAAAACGAAGGCTGTGCAGATTGGCACTGGGTGTGTGATTCTGGAGGAATTTCGTCTGAGCCCACCCTGTGCCTTCTCCTTGGCATCCGCGCCAAGATAGCAAGCATGCCCTTGGGGGCCTGAGTCTCAGTGGCTTGTTGGATGGTGGAAATTGCTTAAAGCTGGTGCTCGTTGCTAGTTGTACTGTTAGAACTTTAGGAAAGGGAGTAAGTTTTATTGAATCAGCATTTATTTTGCTTGGGAAAAATAATAATCAAAACGACCTTTCGAGACTTCCATTGATTCAGTTTGTTCTGAAACAGACCATGGGCTCACAATCTGCCAGGACATGTGGAAGGGAAACACTATATTTGAGGTGGTATATATAATTAAAATGTGACTTACGGAGTCCATTTTCTTTGGACTATTGGTGAATTTTAGAGCAAAAAGGAGTGATAAGGTTAGTAAATTAGGGAAGGTAGTGGGACGTGGTACTATTCGGGGGAATGAATTTGAAAGAATGTTCAAAGTGCAGGTTTTTTCCAGTATTAAGAAAGTCATTGTTGGGCCGGAGATTTAGCTCAGTGGTTTTGCCGCCTGCTGTGCAAGCGCAAGGACCCGAGTTCCATCCCCAGTACCAAAAAAAAAAAGATTAAAGAAAGTCATTGTTTAATTGGGGAGGGGAGTCATAAACACATTGCTGATTTTTATTTTCTATTTTGCACTATTTTTTTATTTTCTATTTTTTTGGGTAGGAGGGAGGGCGGGAAATGGAAGAATATGTTAATCACAAGGCCTTCCTCTGGCAAATTAAGCACATTGAAAAACAGCTCACTTAAATGGGGCAGAAAAAGGCCTAAGATCCTTTGTCTAATAAAATTTCAGCAAAGTCATTATAGTGTTCTTGTGGGAAATGAAGGGAAATGCAGTCCTCCTGCTGCTGCTGCCTCTCCCTTCCACCCCCAAGAGGATTTAGGCCATTCCACCCCTGAGAAGCCACCAATTGCTGATGGTCACCAAGAGTCTAGAAGCCACTTCACTGAGACACATTTGGACTATCAAGAGCTGTGAGATAATTTGGTAGATAAATAATCTTTGGAAGCAATGAGTTTTGATTCATGTTTCCATTTTCCTTAATTGACCATTCTTCCAATTTTTAAAGATGTGCATAATTAGTATATGAATTATAGGAGTGGTAGAAATGAGGTAAGAGGTTCTGCTAGAGGGAATGCTGGATATCTGTAATATAGGGTAGCATGGTGATGCTCTGGGTAAAAGTATATAAAGAAGGTGGGTAAATGTATTAAAAATAACACAATAGAAGCCAGGTGTGGTAGCACATGTCTGTAATCCCAGCACTCAGGAGGCTGAGGCAGGAGGTTTATGAGTTCAAGGCTAGCCTGGGCTACATAGTGAGGCCTAGTCTAATCTCCACGTCTTCCCCAAAATAACTCAAGAAAGGACTTGAGCTGCTGGCATGGTGGTGCATGCCGTTAGTCTCAGCTGCTGGGGAAACTGAGGAAGGAAGAATGCAAGCTAGAGAGGCTGGCCTGGGCAAACAGCAAGACCTTGCCTCAAAAATAAAATTGCCTGGGCCTGGGCGTTTAGTTAGCTCAGTGGTGCCACTGCCTGCCTTGAAAGCGAAAGGTCCTGAGTTCGATCCCCATACCAAAAAATGAAGGAAGGAAGGAAGAAAGGAAGGGAGGGGAAGGGAAGGGAAGAAAGGAAGGAAGGAAAGGAAAGAAAGAAAAGAAAGAAAGAAAATTGCCTGGAGATTGCCCTTGGGGCCAATTCCAGTAAAGAAGAGGAGAGGCCTGCTACTGACTGATCTGTAAGGAGTGCAGCTGATGATGTTAGACCCTTTAGAGTCAGCCTCAACTTGGGACCCCAAGACAGTGCGCTAAGTGCAACCAAGTACAGAAGCTTTGCCCTGTCCATCCACCCTGTGTTACCCCAGGTTCCTCTCACTGTCCAGCGGCACTGGGTCTCTGTTGGGCAGGCTTTGTTAGGTCTGCATCACAGTCTGATTTCCCATTAACCCTTTTTCATTCTTAATTCTGTTTGACATCTGATTTCTGTAGAATCTAACTTGGGACTCAGTTCTTATATATATTGACCTGTTTTGTTAACATGGTATGGTCTTTCTAGAAAATTTAGGGTATGTGGAAAACCCAAAAGAAAAATTTTAAATTGCCTCTAATATTTCCCCTAGAAATGACTACTGATAATAGCTTATTTTGGCAAACTTTAGAGAAGTGCATAACTATTCAGCCCAGTAAATTTTTCATAGAATACATCCATGTAACCAGTACCCAATCAGGAAACAGAACTTGACCGGTACTTAGGAACTTTTCAGAGTTATCAAAGGTAACCACTATCCAAAAAAAAAAAAAAAGGTAACCACTATCCTCACTTGTTGACAGCATAAATTAGTTTCACCTGGTTTTGAGCTTGATGTGGATGTAATCATGTATATGCTTTGAATTGCACAACATTATGTCTGAGATTTATCTATGTGTTGTATATACCTGCCATTCTTGGCTGTATAGTGTTCTATTGTGTGAATGTACCATAGTTTATCTGGGTTTTTTTTTCTTTGTCTTTTTTTCTTTTGGGCTTTTGAGACCTGGTCTCATTGTGTAGTTCATGCTGGCCTTGAAATCACTGGGTAGCTCAAGCTGGCCTCAAACTCCTGGCAATTTTCCTGCTTTAGTCTCCGGAACACTGGGCATGCCTAGCATTGTAGTCATCATCATCATCGTCACCTTTTTTATTTTTTGAGATAGCGTCTCACTGTGTAGTTTAGGCTGGTTCTGAACTCACTATGTAACCCAGGCTGGCCTCGACCTTGTGATGATCCTCCTGCCTCAGCCTCCCGAGTATGTGTGCCACCACACTCAGCTTTTTTGTTTGTTTTTTGAGACAGTCTCAGGCTGGCCTTGAACTAGTAATCCACCTGATTCAGTCTCCCAAGTACTAGGGTTACTACCATGTACCATGTGCCACCAAGCTGTTCTGTGGTTGATGGGCATTTGGGTTTCTGTTTCTCTACTGCCTGGATTTGTTGTGATATTTCCTATTGTAAATATTGCTTTATACTATATTTGTTATTTTATCCAGTGAATAAGCCTATTATTAGAACATTTATTGTTCTCTTAAATTAATCTTGTTTAAAACCTGAAAAGCTGTTTTGTTTTGTTTTTTTGCAGTACTGGGGAGCAGGTGCAGTTACTTGTGCATACTAGGCAAGCACTCTATCACCCAAAACATCTTTTTGTTTGGTTGGTTGGTTTTGTGCTTTTTTTTTTTTTTGGTTGTTTTGGTTTTTGAGATAGGGCCTTGCTATGTACCTCAGGTTGCTATTGCACTAGTGATCCTCCTCCTGTTTCAGCCTCTCAAGTGCTGGGATTACAGGTGTATTCTATCATGCCCAGCTTCCAAAACTCTTATTCCCCTCACCTTGGTTTTCTGTTGTTTTTGTTTTGTTTTGTTTTTTGGTACTGGGGATCAAATTGGGACCATGTGCTTACAAGGCAGGCAGTGGAACCACTGAGCTAAATCCCTGGCCCTCACCTTGGTTTTTTTGAGACAGGGTCTTGCTATATAGTTCAGTCTGGCTTTGAACTCATTAGGTTGCCCAGGCTGGCCTGGAACTCACAATAATCCTCTTGCCTCAGCCTCCCAAGAGCTGGGATTATGCTGGGATTACAAGCGTGTGCCACCATGCCCAGCCCCAAATTCTTATTTCTTAATTCACATTCTCAGAGTGTTTCTACTGTTTATAAGACCCAGAGTTAGTTTTTCTTCTAAGGTTGAGGTTGATCATTGTTAATAGACAAAGGAAGTTACTTGCTATTCCCATTGCCATCTGCCAGCCAGATCTTTTGAGGTAGAGGAATTATTGCAGAACAAGTTTTCCATTGTTCAGGTTATGCTAGGGCTAGGCTGCCATTTCGTTTTCTGGAGAGAAAAATATGTAATCAGAAGACTTTGTGGATGGGCTTGGTATTTGAGCTCCAGCTGTCAAATTAAGATGGCTCATAACTAGTGTGAAAAAGTGCTGAGAAAAGATTTCATGCTGAGGGTGGAAAGGAAATCCCGAGCAGCTCGGAGGGAGGTTGAGTTGTTTCTGAGTCTCTGCCAGCTGTGTGCTTATGTTTGTTTCTTGCCTGTTACAGCTTTGGAGTGGAATGTCATGGCCAGCTCTTCAGATAGTGAAGATGACAGTTTCATGGCTGTGGACCAAGAGGAAACTACACTGGAAGGGACAATGGAGCAAGACGAGCTCACCCACCCAGGGCTAGAGGCTGAGGAGCTGAAACATCACAGGTCGATGTCGGAGCTGCCGGAAGAGGTTTTGGAGTACATCCTGTCCTTCCTCTCACCCTATCAGGAGCACAAGACTGCAGCCCTCGTCTGCAAACAGTGGTATCGACTTATCAAAGGTGCTGTGGAAGGGAAAGAGGGTTACTTATTTCAGGTTTTGTTGAATGATATTTTTAGATTCTAAATTTCCTTTTCTTTAAACGTATTGTGGTTATACAATATAGTATGAGACAACACATTCTCTGCTGCTTCTTGGTTAATTTTGTGAACATGTAGTATTTATTTATTTATTTATTTATTTATTTATTTATTTGGTACCGGGGATCGAATTTGGGTCCTTGTGCTTGCACAGCAGGTGGCGAAACCACTGAGCTAAATCCCCGGCCCAGCATGTAGTGTTTAATATGTAGTGTTGAATAGTATTTAATCCCCTTTATAGTTGTAAAATGAGGATTTTACCTGCAGCTTAAGTGCCCAGGCTGAGGCTCTTATTCTTTTGTCTTTAGGAGTAGCCCACCAGTGTTATCATGGTTTCATGAAGGCTGTCCAGGAAGGAAACATTCAGTGGGAGAGCCGCACTTACCCGTACCCTGGAACCCCGATTACTCAGCGGTTCTCACACAGTGAGTATCCACCATGAGCCCAGGTCTCAGCTGGCCAATGCCATGCCTCCAGAAACTGTTTCAGATGTATGTATTTTCCTAATGTTTTAGTAAAGAGAATGTAAAATGAGAGTTTATATTAAATTTATAGCAACAATTAAGAAAGTGTGAATTAAAAAATATGTGAGGGCTAGGGTTATAGCTCAGGGTAGAGTACTCACCTTGGTACAGCCCTGGGTTCAACCCCAGCCCACTAAATAAATAAATTGTAAGTGCTTTGTTAATAATTTTATATTCTGATTTTTCATTTGGTTTTTTCCTTACTCCAAGGAAGTTAAAATGTTATGCTTAGAATTCTAGTTTGTTTTGTTTTTTTGGTACTGGGGATTGAACTTGGGACCTTCCACTTTCGAGGCAGATGGTGGAACCACTGAGCTAAATCCCCAGCCCCTAGAATTCTCGTTTTGTTTTGGTTGTTGTTTTTTTGTTTTTTGAGACAGGGTCTCACTGTGTAGTCCAGGCTGGCCTTGAGCTCACTATGTAGGCTGCCCTTGAACTCATGGTGATCTTCCTGCCTCAGCTTCCCAAGTGCTAGGATTCCAGGCATGCGCCACCACACCTGGCTCATGCTTAGAATTTTAAACATTTTCCGGGGATTTAGCTCAGTAGTTCCATGCCTGCCTCTCAAGTTCAAGGTCCTGAGTTCAATACCTGGTACCAAAACAAAAAAGAATTTTAAACATTTGACATATGAGGGGGGGGAAAAAAGAAAAGTATGCATGAGTGTATTTCTGAGGCCTGCCAAGAGAATAACTAAAGATTAGCATTAGGTCTCAGGGTGACTCTTTCAACATATTATTTTATGCTCAGCCAATGTGCAATTTGACTAGAGTCACATACAATTTTTGAATGTGAAGGATATTGATTATAAAATACAAAGGTGAATAGTTAAAGTATAAATAAAATATCCTGGCAAATAGATGTGATTTAGAGTTTTTTTAATTGTTCTAGAGTCATTTGTCTTTATAATTGATTTTTATAGATGCTCTTATTCTATTAGTGATTCACATCCTTCTGTCAAAAGTGAGACCAAGAGATGTTGTCATGAGACTAGTAAAGGTGTCATTTTTAGTGACTGCTCATAAAGAAAGTCAGTAAGGGGCCGGGGTTTGTTTTGGCTCAGTGGTTTCTCTGCCTGCTGCGCAAGTGCAAAGACCCGAGTTTGATCCCCAGTACCAAAAAAAAAAAAGTCAGTAAGGGTAGGCAGCAAAGAGAGGGTGGGGACAGGATGAGGTGACCTTGTAGGAGCTTCTCATAATTGCTGCTCTCAGCAATTGTGTTACTTCCTATTAAAAAACCCTCAGTGCCTATACATTGTCTATAAGGTAAAACCTAAACTTCATCTTATTTTCAAAGCTGTCCTTAATTTGACGTATGCTGAAAGTTACTGCTTCATCTCCCAAGAGCTCTCCTCTTTAACAAGCTGGTCCTTAACTTTTAAAACCATACTTGATTTCTTTACTTCCTACATTCATTCCATCTACTTAGCTGAATCCTGGCTCCTTGAAGACTTACAGTTCTGACTCCTTCATGAAGTTTTTTTTTTCTCCAGCTCATATTAAAAAAAAAATCCTAAAGCAAAATTCACAATGAAACATTTAATAGAACAGTGTGAACAACAGCACTTATATATCATATTGGTTGCCTTTGAAGATATGGAAAGGTTTGGTGTGAATTGTTACATTGATCTGTAATATTTCATAATAAAAGAATGAAATTAGAAAACAATTCCTGGGCTGGGGATTTAGCTCAGTGGTGCTGCCACCTGCCTCGCAAGCGCAAGGTCCTGAGTTTGATCCCAGGTACACACACGAAAAAAATTCCTATTCTAAGCTTACATAGGTATTATTGTCTGAAATACTAATTGTTACTGGACTTACATTGTCTTTCATTGTTAGTTTATATGTATGTCTTTACCAAAAATAAAGAACTATATTTTGAACTCAGGTGGGAAAGAATATGTATTGATTATCCATGCTGCATAAAAAATTACCCCCAAATTTAATGATTTATTTTATTTTATTTTTTTGAGACAGGGTCTTACTATGTAATTCAGACTGGCCTTGAACTCATTATGTAGCCCAGGCTGGCCTCGAACTCACAGCAATCCTCCTGCTCAGCCTCCTAAGTGCTGGGATTATAGGCATGGGCCACCACGCCCAGCCAAATTTAGCAGTTTAAACAGTATTTCTTATTTCATTCCTGAGGGCCAGTGACTTGGGAATGGCTTGTGTGGGAAGTTCTGGTTCGGGGTTGCTCATAAGGTTGCTGCCAGTTCATCAGCCAGGGTTGTCTGGGGAAGTGCTTCCAAGCTTGCTCAAGTAACTCTCACCAGGAAGCCTTAGTTCCTTACGACATGGACCTCTCCACAGAGCTGCTCTGAACTGGCAGCTGGCTTCCCACAGACAAATGACCTGAGACAGACACAAAGATGGACATCACAGTGTCTCAGAAATGAGTACATCTCTTCTGTTCTGTTCTCTTGGTCACACAGGGCTGACCAAGGTATAAAGACCAGGAGGAGAGGATCATTGGGGACCTTCTTAACGGCTGACTATCCCAGATCCTGTGTTATGCTCTTGTATCCAGAGTGTTCAGTAAATAATTGGGTCTAAGTAGGTCAGAGGGAGCAGGCCAAACCACTATGATTTTAGTTCTCTCAAGGAGGTATTTATACTTGTGCTGTTGTAAACCACCTGGAGCGGTGAGCCTCAAAGTGTGATTCCTGGACCTAGGAGTCGGGGTTGGAGGTTCATGGGCCCTTCCAGGGGCTCTGTGAGGTCAAAACTGGCTTTGTGTGTTTGGGGGGTTTTTTTGTATTGTTTTGTTTTGGGTTTTGTTTGTTCTTTTGAGACAAGATCTCACTGTGCATTTCAGGCTGGCCTCAAACTTGCAGTGATCCTCCTGCCTTAGCTTCCTGAGTGCTGGGATCACAGATGTGCATCATCATGCCTGGCTTATGTGATTGTTTTGTTTTTTTTTTTTGTACTGGGGATCGAACTCGGGTCCTTGAGCTTGTGCAGCAGGTGGTGAAACCAATGAGCTAAATCCCCGGCCCCTTGTGTGATTGTTTTAAATGGGAGTATGTGACAATGAAAGAGCCAGGAAGCAAAGACAGAGACTAAAGTCCCACAGTGCCCTTTAAGGGCATGTGACCAGTTACCCAAAGATTTCTCACTAGGCCCCTCCTTTTAAAGGGCCACAACACCTTCCAGTGTGCTATCCTGGAAACCTTTGGGGGACACTATCTGTATTCAGACCACAACACTGGTAAAATAGAAATCATACTGGGCTGGGGATTTAGCTCAATGGCTCCATACCTGCCTTGCAAGCACAAGGTCCTGAGTTCAGTCCCTGGTACCAAAAAATAATAATAATATGAAGAAATACTCAAGGGTGTGTAATTAGTTCAGCAAGAGCTTTCTTTTTTTTTTTTTTGGTACTGGGGATTGAACTTGGGACCTTGCACTTGTGAGGCAGGCACCGGAACCACTGAGCTAAATCCCTGGCCCCAGCAATAGCTTTCTTTTTTAAAATTAAAAGAAAAATTTTTGGTTCCGGGGATCAAACTCAGGACCTTGCACATACAAGGCAGGTGGTGACACTACTAAGCTAAATCCCCAGACCAGCAATAACTCTCTTATGAGAAGGGAAAAGAATAATGTTCAGTTAAGTAGTTTTGACGAATAATTTATGACAAAATGGAGCCACTTACTTGAAGGATCAAAGGAAAGGAATATAGTGCAATGAGCAAGCCTTTGGAAGTTTAGAGGTTGATGCATTTGAATATTTTAAAACTCAGTCTTCATTTCAAATCCAGGAAAAGGTGCCACAGATGATTTTTTTGTAATGTTTGTGTCTCATTTTCTCTTTTCATCTGTCTCGCATTTTCTTTGTATATTGTCTAGCTAATAGGCACACTAAAGAGGACTGTTATAGAGATGAGAGCAGTTTCTGTTTTTTTGTTTTTGGGGTTTTTTTTAGTGTCTGGGATTGAACTCAGGACCTTGCGCTTGCCACTGAGCTAAAACCCGAGCCCCAGGGCAGTTTTTGAAATAGGTTGAAAACAAAGAACTTACTTAATTTCTTTCTTAGGTCTTTGGCTCTTTCTGTTTTGAATTTCTCCTTTAATCTCTATTTTTTCAGTACTGGGAATTGAATACAAGTCCTTCACACTGAACTACCTCCTCAGCCTTTGTTTAAATATTTTATTTTGAGACAGGGACTCACTAAGTTGCCCAGCCTAAGCTCAAACTTGAGATCCTCTTGTCTCAGCTTCCCATGTGCTGGGAGTGTATACAAGTGCCACCTCATCTGGCTTCAGTTTTCTTTCTTATCCCTCATTCATGTTGAGCAACAGATCCACATTTTTAATTATTTGCTTATGTTGTCATAACTAGATGTTTCATATCCAATCAACTAAGAGTGGATTCAGTAGTTCCTCCTAGGGCCGGGGATTTAGCTCAGTGGCACCACACCTGCCTCTCAAGCCAAGGTCCTGAGTTCCATTCCTGGTACTAAGAAAAAAAAAAAAGTAGTTACCCCTCTGTTTTCTCCTTTCCTTAATTAGTTATTATTACTCTCAATACAGGCTTGAAATTACAGGCTTTAAATCTTATATTCATTTCCTCTCCTTCCATCTATTTAACAAAAGCCAAATTCTGTTGATTCTGTTCCAGCTCTTTCATACCTTTCTTTCCCCCATCACTCTAATTCACAGTCTAATCATTACATCTTCTCTGAATCATCACAGTACACTTTGGAGGGGGCAGGACTGGTGATCGAACTCAGGCCTACATGCTGGGCAGGTGCTGTGTTTACTAAGCTACACTACCGGCCCACAATACATTTCTAATGGTCTTCTTGCCTTTCTTCTCCCTTAATTTGAACCTGGACCAGAAACTATTATGTAAAACTGGAGAAAATACCACCTCCTAGGGCATTTGGAAATAGGTGAGCGT